GCAATATGGATAAGAGCACAGGAAAGTATCTATACTTGCTGGATTCCCCAAACATTCAGCTTTCATATGCATATATTGGATTCATTCTATCTATTATAGTTTTCGAGTAAATCAATGAATGTAATACGCGTTCAAAGTTGCAAAATTGAAATAAAAACGTTCGAAAAAGCAGTGTTTGGAAACCACTGACTTAGGTTGACCAGACTTTTGGTTAGATGTTCCGGTGTCCTCGAATTGTATATTCTGGACCATTGCATGTAATGTATAGAGAATAAAATTTAGTGAATAATCCATAACATGTTCCGATTTTTGATTGATCACTCCGCATTTACATTAAATTTAGTACAAACCGAATACAGCAATGACTTGCATAGTGATTACCCGGTTTTGTAAATATCCAGCACTATATGAAACCGGACTAAAATAAGCAACACAAAAAGAGACTTGACTGTATATATTTTCATTTTGAAACTAAACCGCACAATTTAAAGTATTACACTAAGTTATTGAAATCATAAGAAAAAAATTAATTGAATGAGATTTTATATCTTAATTTCTTAAAATAGAGTTAATATACTGTCTAAAGTAGAAAGATCAAATATGTATTTTCTCCTATATCTTTTTACAAGAAGCCAAAGGAAGAAGTTGTTTGCTCACCAAATATTGAGTTTGCAACACAAATGTTTTTGGTTGATTAAAAAGCTAACAGCTATTTCGACCTATTACGACCTATCGACTCCTAAAATCTTTTATTTTTTTTGCTCTGCACTTGAATATATTAATATTTATCTGTTTTAATACAATGTTATTGATTGATGACAATCAAAATATTTAAATTTAAAAAAACATTAATACGCTCACAGTAATTATGCGAACTAATATTAATTGTATTAAATTCCATAGAATATGATTTCGCAATTAGGAATCACATCTAATTGATATAGGAATGAAAATAATATTTTTTTTTTGTCTGCATTAGGGTTTCTCAATCTATAGGTTGGATTACATCTTAATGCATTGAAAAATTGGGTTGCGAAATAAAAGCTGTAACCTTATATCAAAGCGATGATCTGGTGTAATACTTTTAACGATTGGATCACACAACTACAAAGAAATATGTTGAATCGCAACGCAGAAAGGTTGAGAAACGCCGTTTTAAATAATTATAGACATGAAACCAAGAAAACATAAAAAAAAACAGAAAAATGTATATTTAAATCTCAACATAGTCTTCTTTTAACTTCTTCAATCTTTGCTTCGATCATATTAGTTTTTTTCAAAGAAAAAACTGCCATTTGTACGTGAGATCGGACACAGACAGCACTTTACAAAAGATGTCAATAAGAATTTAGTTAAATAAACAAGAAACGGTGTCAATATTTTAAATAAATAAACCTTAGATGTTTCTTTGAAATACTTAGCGAAACTAATTGAACATTTACAATATGTACACAAACGTGTTATAGTTGACTACCTATAAATGATGAATGTTCAAGAGTGAAATTGCATTTGCAAAACTTTGAGAACATTTTCTTCCTAATTCGTTTCTATATAATAATTTATTTAACACATTCATAATAAGTAAGTTTAATGGCAAATTTTAATTTTTTTCTTATTTCAATCAGAAGAAAGAATGGTCAATATTTTCTTTTCTCTTGAAAGTATGCGAGTATTTTGATTTTGAAAATAAGCGTCTTTTGACTTACAAGAAAAAGACGCTCATTTTACAACAAGTTTGTTATTGTTACATATGACAATAAAAGTATCAATCTTTTCCATATTCAACTTGAATAATCAAAATTGATTTCGTAAATATGAAGTAATCTAATGACTATTTTAAATTCCTTTAGCTTACTTGATAATATTTATTAAAATGAATAAAAAGTAAGGTATTTATAAACATAAACAAATAAAAAATAATTAACTGTCAGAAAGGGCTATTGACCATAGGTTCTATTAGGGAGAGTTTACTTATTTTTAAGATAATTAAGGTAATTTTGACAATTATACACTAAAATTTGTGTTATTTTTGAAGAATGAATTTTGATCTTTTCCATAATCATAATACCACTGATATTTGATTCCGTCAGTATTAAGTAATTTAATGTCTCCTTGTCACCCTTTCATTGCAACAATAATTTTTAGGGACGAAAGAATAAATCAATTTTGATTCCGTGAGCATCAAGTAGGATGATGTCAATTTTAAGCAACTTTGGAATATATTAGGTCGATGTATCATGTTGCAATTCGATGGAAAGTGTTTATGATACAGAAGTAACCTTTTTTGTTTAATTCATTTAAAATGATGAGTTTCAATATACATAGAGATATCTATCGGAACACAGAAGTTCGGTCCGAATAATCTATGGCTAAAGTAAATATGTTTTCACTCAAATTAGGTAATAAGATTAGGAGCACGAATGATGTGACTAATTAAAAAGACGATTAAACGGGAAGCGTACTCACCGAGCGTTCATCTAATATTGGGTCATCACGCGCCAATATTCCATTGTAACAATTCCAGAGATGTTTCGTAAACTTTGATTGATACAAAAAAAAAGAAAACAAGTAATTGAATAATATGAAAATAAATTTAAAAAATAAAATAGGATAACTGAGTAGTGGACGCGGCGGATGCGATCGCGCGACTTCTACAGCGGATACTGAGCTCTGGTATGTCTGATTCCTTTTAGAGGTATCAAAATAGCGACCTTTTGGGTCAGACTCATATCAGAGATGATTTTTTAACACGACCACAAATCAGATGAATTGTATATAAACAAAATGTTGTTTTAAAAACATCTCGTTTCCCCACTGCTCTCTCGATGTATGCTTATCCCATTAGAGAGAGCATAGCAAGAGAGGCTCGTTCGGAACAATTTAGCTTAATTATCGATTCGATAGCGAAACGACGAGTATATTAAAGCATAAAGAACACGTCTGAATTCAATGGAAGTAAGAGGAGAATAACACAATCGTGTTTACGAAATCCCCGCAACAGCAGTTTCCTATAATCGAAGCACACATGTGCCTCGAGACGAAGACCTGTTGATTTATTACACATTCTTGTTTATTTATTCGCGCCAATCGATAGCAGCGCTTCTTTAATCATATCTTTTTATATATTTTAAATTATGACTAAGTTTAATGAAATTCCTCTATAAAATAATTTCAGTTGGAAAGATTAAGCACGATTAAGTAGGAACGTTAAAAATAAATTTTTATTCAACAAACAGAAATATCATAACAGTTAGAGGTTTATTACATCTGATGGGAGATCTGTCGTTTCCCGAATAGCGAGTTGTAAAGTTCCGTCTTCGCCTCATCCGTCCACTCGTGTTCGTCGATGGGAGCCATAAAGTTGACCATTTTCGTGTGAATGGTGTACCGGATCTTCCTGCCCTTCGTCGCTCTGGTATCAACTTTCTTCTTCATCTTACTCCTAAGATTCTGCAACTGGATCCACTGACGACCCAACTGAACCGGATCCGTCAGATCGGCGGATTTCACCTCGATCAGCTCCCTAAGGAGCTGATGATAGAAATCGTTGTCATCGAAGATGTTCGCATCTTCTGAATCCTTGATCTGCCCTTCCTCGTTTTCAGGAATCTCCTTACCGAGTATTCTGTAATCCGTCCTCTTCACTTGCGTTCTCTTAATCAGCTTTTCACGATCGCTCAGATTGTGTTCGATCTGCTTCAAAACGGACTGAGTTCCAGCGTTCTTCGCAACAACTATGTTCGTCTTTTCGTTCCACTTTTGTATAACATTATTTCTGTATGGCTTATACTTTTCAAAAACGTCCACCATATCTTTTACAGGAGTTAACTTCTGTTTCTTCTTCAAAGGCTCATCAACTTCTTCCTCAGACTCCTCTTTCTCATCTTCAGTATCACTTGGAATCTCTTCATCACTCACAATCTCCTCAACCTTTCCTTTCAACACCTTCTTGCTTTCTGGGAACTTTGCTATGCACACTTTGTGCAAATCCAGTAATTTGCCCAAAACCAAACTTACAGATTTCTGAGTTTCCTCCACTTTATTTGAAAACTCCTCAGAAGATTTCATTTCTTTGTAAACTTCCTTCTGTGGCATTTTATTTGCGGCTGACATGCACTTCTGCATTTGTATCCGCATCTCCAAAATTTTCTCCCAAATATGCAATTGATTCCTTACATGTATACCTTTAGACATTTCCGCTGGGCTATCAACATCATTTAAATGCTTAAAATTATCATCATCCTCAGATTCCTCTTCACTTTCACCAAATTCATCTTCTTCAGCCTCCGATTCTTCCTCATCTTGACTAGACTCATCATCTTCCTCCATGGCAACATCCTCATCATCATCCGATTCAAACTCTGCTTTTTTCCTTGAACTCTTCTTGCCAGCATACCTACTATCAACCTTATCCAGCAGGTCTACGTTTTGCTTCCTAATTTTACTCGTGAATTCTTCAACTTCCCGAATCTCCACATTCTCTTCGAACTCTGGCAAAGGTGCTCCATCTTCCGATTCGTTGTCAGATTCAAAATTACTTGGAGTCGCGTTTAAAACACTCGCGATTTTCTCCGACAACGATGCTTTTCCTTTACTTTTCTTATTCATCTTTAATAACAACCAGCACCAAACACAAAATAACCTCAAATGAGGAAAAAATCAAAAGAAACACATGCCAAACAATCTATACAGCAACTGTCACCAACTGTTAGATATTTATTTTTCATCCAACAAACATTTCATCGATTTCTAGTAAATTGCCATAAAATACTTCAATAACTAAAGACAAACATATAAAATACAATAAAAAGAAAATATCATTTAATAACTAATAATAAAATAAATTTAATACTAAATAGAGAAGCCACAATTATGTTAAATTGGTTGCATATTAATCAAATTTTAAACTTTTTCACAGCTAATTCATAGATTTAACATATTAAAATACTTAAAGTTTTTATTTTAAATTACAAATTGGCAGTGAACGATAATCATAGTAATACATTTTACATTAATTCTAATAGTTTCCTCTTCTTGTACAAATCTAAATTCGAATAATCCAAGAGTGTGTTTCGTACAATTTCATGTAGAATCTTTGGCCAATTCTCGTCCAGCATTCTCAGCTTCTTAGCAGAATTGCAAACCTCGTCTAACAATTTGCTAATATAAGTATGCGCCTTTTGCCTCTGGATTTGTTCATCCTAAAACAATATTGTTAACAAACTGTTACTTTCATTAATAAATCATTTACTTGGACTGAACCCTGCTTTTTCCATTGCAAAGCCTCTTTGCTAACGACGCTTCTTAAAGCAGCGTCAGCAGACATTAACCATACTTTGGGATTCACATTCTCTGAAGAATCATCTATATTTATACTCAATCTCGTCAGAAGAGGTTGCAGGTAAATATCAGGTAGAGCACACAAAACGAGATCGCTCAGACTTTGATATTGCAAGTTCGCGTTTTCGATATCTTTTTCGGAAACCTGAAAGAGAAAAACATTACATTCGTTTATTAAAATATCTTATATGCTCGTACAGCTTCATCATTTAACATTTTAAGGCCCCAATGGGATAATCTGTATATAGCGTAGGTTCTCCAATCTTTCTCAATAATCGGATTTCCTTCAGTCGTTATTTTAAGTGACGATAATCCTTGGATCTCAGCGAATATATTTATTTGCCCAATAAACTCGATGTTTGTCTCTTTAAAGATAAACTGATCGGCATTCGGGAATCTGGATTTGATTTTACTTAAGATTGGAGCTAAGTTATTGATGTTGACGTAATTAAAGTTAATTGTGGTAACGCTGTGGGCTTTCGTCGTATTCCAAGATTTGTCCAAGAAATGCAACGAACCTTGCCCGTAAACGTTCAAGTTTTGTCCGCAGATTTCCACAAGATAATCTCCACCTGAAATATAAAATTAACTATACAAAAAAATTGAAATAGTATTATAACGATATTTATTACCTTGTTCACAATCTCGAACTTGCGTTGCGTTATTTGAATTGGAATTGCTCTTCCTCGCTTTAGCAGATACCGATCTTGACGCGTTTACTCTATGAACCAATCTGTGGTTGACGGCGCTTTTGATATTTCTCTTCGACGAGGTTGTTGTTCTATCGCTGTTAGATTTACTGGAAGTACTGCTTATGTTCGAAGAGAGAGTACTGGAGGATTCAGCGGAAGTAGAGTCAGGTTGCGTTGAACTTACTGGAACCGCTTCAATCGGTTTGCTGGAATTCCTTTAATTAACGTACAATTATTTAGAATTAATATAAAGGCGTACTATGCTTCAATGATTTCCTTAATCTCTTCTATATCTTCATCACTGCTGCTATCAGAATCCGATTTACTTGATAGCAATGAACTAGTGCTGTCGATGTTCGGACAAACGCTTGAAACGCTTTCTTTCTTTTCATGTATTTTGTTAATGATTGGGACTAAAATTGGCGGAAGCTTGCACCATTTACCATGTTCGTTTTTCTTATGATCCGCAACTTTACTTTTCAATAACGATGTTAATATTATATCTGCATCTGGATTGACTTTCGATGATTTCCCTTTGGCGCTGACGTTACTAGTTATTTGCTTTGTTTGGGACCTCAGCAGTTCCCAATTCGTTTTAGCGTTCGAAATTGCTTCCTCCCTGTTCACGTTCTTCGAAATCGTCTCCGTCAGATCCATAAATAGAGGATTCGACGTCTCTTTATTTCTCCTCCAAATATTGGAGGCTTTTCGTAACTGCTCGTTTATTGTCATTTTATTTACAATCGCAAGTTTCGGAAGATACGACACCAGGAACGGCACGCAATCGTTATTTAGTAATACTGGATTATTCTCAATCGATATTTCTATTATATTCGGCGATTTGATAACGTTACTCAAATCTTCTATTCTACAATACATTTGCAAAAGATTAAACAAGATTTTGTAAATATCTTTTTTTATCAAATACTCACAATTGCATTTCGTTATTGCTCAGAAATATTTTGTGCAAATTGCACATTTCCGGTAATCCCGACAACCTCTTCAGATGATTCCTCCTCAAATTCAACTCCTGCAGCGATTTCAATCCACCCATTTCAGTTGCTTGCAAACATTTTAATTGATTCCCAGCCAAATTCAATACACGCAATTGCGATAAAGTTTCCAAACCCGTCACCGAATTGATCAGATTCCCATGTAAATCCAACACTTCCAATTTCGTTAGATTTTCCAAACCTTCGATTTTCTTAATCCTAAAATTGAAAACCATAAACAAATCTATTAAGACAAATAAATATTTACCTGTTCTTTCCTATTAATAGTACTCTCAAAGTTTCCAATGAGATGAGATTTTTCATAGAATCAATTTGGTTGTTGTACAGGTCCAAAAATACCAGAACTGGAAATTTTTGGACTTGCAGACTCACCAAGTTGTTAATCAAATTGTGCTGACATGATAACAATCTCAATCTATCTTCAGCAATTATTGTTGGAAAGGTGTTCAGTCCCTTCCTATCCAAACAGATTTTATCAGGATTCTTATCTTTCTCCTCTTGTGTTCGAGTAACTTGAATCGAGCCATCAGTGAATATCTGTTGTGAAACTGAATTAACATTGGTATCAAAATTCGAGGTGTCTGAAGAGCTGTGATCTACATAGGAAGTACTGGGTCTTTCTTTTTTCTTTTGTTTTGTTGCGTCGGCCACCAAATTTTTGCTTTTTATTTTCAATATTTTTTTCTTTTTCTGAAATATTAACATCAAATTGAATTGCAATGTTTTACCGGATTCTACTTACAACTGAAGCAGCACTACTGCTAATTGGCATTTATATGATGTAACAGAACATTTAAATTGTTATGAACAGTTTTAAAGTCATCATCATACTAGAACAAACTGGCTCTAGTACACTAGTCTCTATGAAGCCACCTTATTTATGTTGCCAATGGTAACCAGTGCTGTTTCATGTTCCAGGCAAAACAGTGTATTAGTTTGAATCCACAAATCAATAGGAAAGTGACATATTTATATACCTATATACAAAATCAATATGCAAATGAAAGAAACTGCTTGAATTACTTCTAAGTTTTATTCTATTAAAATTGTTTGAGCTGGCTCAATTTGTTGTTCCTCTTCATAGCTAATTTCTTTAATTTCCTCCAATATTGCTTAGATTCTGGATCCAATTCTTCTAAGGGTGGGGCCGGTCCTGTGCGAAGATTCCAAAGCCAATCAGGGTATTCTTCCATCGGTCTGATTTTTACATCTTCTCCAGTTTTGAATATATTCGAGCCACAGACAATAGATACAAGTTTCTTGGGGTCAGTCTCAACTGGTAATACTTTTTTCTCAACTGCTGGACCCATTTTTCCCATTTTCTTCTTTTTCAGAGCACCTCCAACCATACTAACACCTAATAAGATTCAAGTTAGATCATTGTTAATGAAAACTATACATTGAAATACTTACCACCAGAATCCTTTTTGGCATAATTATTGCAGGGAAAATTTAAATTGAATTTTAAAGAGAACGGCCTTAGCCTGAACAATGTAAATGCACTGATATTCATTTTCAAATTAAAGTTATCACTTCTGATATTAATAATACACGTATATAGGTTATGTTTATCTTACATAACCAAGAAAAATGTGTACTGCAGTAGTTCCAATATGCATTAGTAGTTCAAATTATATAAATCATATTATCAATTACAATAGTTGATATCAAGTTTAATATGTTAAATACGAACAGTTTCTGTGTATATTTTCGTTTTCGCATTTATTTGCCTTTATTCAATTTCAATTTACGAGCAACTTCATCTTGTTTATATAGTTTGATTGTGTTGGCATCTGTTTGATCTGTTGTTTGGTTTTGAGTTGTAGTCAATGTATTTTGGCGGTCAATTGTTTATTACTATTTAACGTGTTAAAATGAACAGTTTTCAAGGTGGAGCTCTTCTGAAAGTTACCGTGATAAACTTTGTGTGAGTACTTGTGATTTGCCTAAAGCTGTCTTCAAATAATTTTCATTTCGTTTTTAATTTTCAGCACATATTCATATGCAGAACTGTATCCAGGACCAAATTTAAATATGCTTATTGGTCCAAATGGAACTGGAAAATCAACAATTGTAGCTGCAATAATATTGGGTTTGGGTGGTAGTCCAAAGACAGTTGGCAGAGGGAAAAATGTATACTTGAATCAGTTTGCTGAATCTGTATATTATTATTAACTGCATTTCTTCAGATTTCAGAATATGTTAAGCATAATGAAGAGAAAGCAACAATCAAACTACTGATGCAAGGCAAGAATGGTCAGAAAAATTTCACAGTCACACGACATTTTGATAAGTTGAATGCAAGTTCATGGGAGCTGAATGGTGAAGCAAAATCACAGAAGGATGTCTTAACATTCATCAGCAAGTATCAAATACAAGTTGATAATCTGTGCCAATTCCTTCCACAGGATAGGGTTGCTGACTTTGCAAAACTAAACAAACAGCAGCTGCTGAAGGAGACACAGCTTGCTCTATGCAGAGATGATTTAGTTGAAAAACAAGAAAAATTAAAAATGGAATATGAACAGCAGAAACAGGACATAATGCGATTGGACAAAAGCAAACAAAAATTGCAGGAACTGAAGGATATTAATGTATCTGTGGAAGCAAAAGTAAGGACATTCAATAAAAGGAAAAAGGCCTTGCAGCATCTGGATAGTATAAAACGCAAGGAAAAGTGGTTATTACATTTCCATAGCAAGAATGAATATGTTAGAGTAAAGGATTTGCAAAATAAATCTAAGGATGTATTAAATACTAAAAAAGAAGCTATGATACCATTAGAAGAACAAGTCTCAGAGCAAAAGGAGAAACTGAGAGAAATTGAAAATAAAAAGCGAAATATTGTAAACATTTTTAATTATTATTATTATTTCTACAGTTATGTTTCATAATATTATTTTTAGGAGAATTCTCTGAAGAGAGATGAGCTACAAGTTCATCAAAGTAATGAAAAGGTTAATAATCTGAAGAATTCTTTATCCAGGATAAAGGATGAGAAAAGTAACCATTTGAATGAGATGGATGAGAAGAAAAAGGAAATTGATGGTGCCCAGTTAAGAATGAAACAATTAAATAATGATAAAGCTGAGGTTCTTGTTATTTTAGGAGGAGGTATGTTAGGACTATTATCATTTTGGATATATTTTTTAATCAAATTAATTTTAATGTTGCAGAGGAAGTAATGAATAATAAAATGCTTTCATTGAACAATGACATTAAAAGTTATACAAACAATGTGAATACTATTAGAGATAAGATACAAGAATTGACTGAATTAAAGGATAGAAAGAAAAATATTTATAAGAATATGCATGTTGAATTAGGAAAGTTGGAAAACGTAAAAAACCAAAGGTTGGAAAGTCTTCATAGATTGGATCAGGATGCGTATAAAGGGACATTGTGGTTGAGGGACAATAAACATTTATTTAAAGGGGAAGTCTATGAACCTATGATACTTGAAGTAAGTTTTGTAAATGTTATAAGTTGTATTTACCTAATTTTCTTTTTCTTCTAGCTGAACGTATTGGAGCCTAAAAACGCTCTATACGTAGAGAGATCGATATCTTTGAAAGATAAAGTGGCTTTTGTTTGTACGGAAGTCGAGGACATGAATTTGCTTATTCGTCATTTAAGAATGTCTCAAAAATTGAGCGTAAACGTGTTGCATTCGAGCATAGACAGATCAAATAGTCAAATGGAGGCACCGATTCCAATCGAACATTTAACCAGATACGGTTTTCATTCGTACGTGATATCGTTATTTTCAGCTCCCGACGTTATTAAAAAATACTTGTGTAAAACATACCATTTGCACTCTATACCAGTCGGAGAAAACATAAGTAACTTCAATGCATTACCCAAGCAAATTACCACTTTCTTCAGCGGTTAGTTGAACGAGACTATATTAGAAATAAATAATGCAATTAATAATGTTTGTAGGCACATCCAGAATCTCCATATCCTATTCAAGATATACAGGAGAGAAGAGCACAAGACAGAACGAGATCAAATCTGATGGCACGTTTTCCATAACGTTGAACATACAGAAAAAAGATTTGCTGGAGAATCAAATGGGTCAGACGAAGAAGCAGTGCGATGATTTCGCTGTGCAAATCCAAAAATTGGAAGAGAAGGTGAGTTCTTAATTTAAATTTTAGTATTATGTATTAATCACATGTGGATATTTCAGATAAACGATGTAAATCATCAAATTAATCGGATCAAGGAGAGTCAACATAAACTGCGGACACAAAAGCAGCAAGTCGAAAATATCGATGGGAAAATTCGTATACTCGAAGGAAAGTTAAAAGAATTACAGAAAAATACGAAAACGAAGGAAGAAATTGAACAAATGTATCAGCACAAAATTAATGTACGTATATTATTTTACAAATGTTATGTTTACAAATTATTTATGATTGTGTGTTGCAGCAATTGAAAGGCACTTTATTTTCGATACTCGACGAATTGAAGGACGGTTATAAGAGTTATATGCAACAATTGGTTGAGTATAAGATTTCTGGGCTGAGTGTAACCGTGTGCAGGAAAGACGTTGCATGGTTGGAGGAGCAAATGATTGATATGAGGAATGCAGTTGCCGAAGCCTTGGAAAATTTCCGGACGTTGAAGAAAGATTCCGAAATGTTGTTGCGCAAGAGCGAAGAAGCTTTGGTTATTGCTAAGCAGGCTTCAAATGGTTGGCATGTGGACGATGAGGAATTCAATGAGTTCAGAGATGATTACGATAAGTTATCGAATGATTTGGAAGCTTTGCACGAGGAAAGAGAGACGTTGGAATCTAAATTGGATTGCATGATTAATTCGGCGGACGACATCGAGATGCAAGAGTACGAGGCTAGAGTTAGCGCAATTGAAAAGTTGGAGGCAAACGTCGAGATTGATTTGCGTAAGGTGCAGAACACTGATGAGCGATTGGCGACGATGGAGAATGAATGGCTTGAGCCGTTGAACTATCTGATTGGTCAGATCAATGAACGGTTCAGTTCCGCATTTGAGCATATGGGTTGTTCCGGAGAAGTGAGCTTGTATAAGGGCGAGAACGGAAACGATTACGAAAAGTACGGGATCAGTATTAAGGTGACGTATCGCGATGGGGAGCCGCTGCAGGAATTGAACACGGTGACACAAAGTGGTGGTGAAAGGGCGGTTGCTACAGCAACGTACATGTTGTCTTTGCAAGAGTTGACTTCAGTTCCTTTCCGTTGCGTCGATGAGATTAATCAAGGCATGGATGTTGACAACGAGCGGAGAATTTTCAATTTGCTTGTCGACATAACGAGCCAACCAGGAACGTCGCAGTATTTTTTAATCACACCGAAGGTAATCTATTAATTGGAAATTTAATTGATTTGAATATAATATTGACTTCATATTTCTAGCTCATTCCGAAGTTAAAATTCGTCGAATCGATGAAAATACATTTCGTTCATAATGGTCCGTTCGTTTGCGAGCAGAATCAATGGAATAAAGTACAACCACAGTTAGTTTGATACATATGCAAGTCATATTGAATATCATTGTTATTGTGCAGATTCAATTAATTGATGTGCCTTACTGTTTAATAACCATTGTGCTGTTGAAAATTGACACGAATTTTCGCAAATGCTGACAAAAAAAAAAATGATACATTTGTTTGAATTATAAGTGTTTCAATTTATGTATAATATGTATTTATAACAGTTAAGTTTATTTTTAATAGATTAATAAATGTGTTACCATGAATTAAACGCAATCGTCGTCTAAAGCAGTGATTCTCAAGGGAAACGCTGATCTAAAGCACAAAATAAATATAATCCACGTTTAAGATCATCATCACCGTGCAATAAACAAAAGGTTGAAAATGCTGTGACCTATAGCCAACTGCAAAACTGCTATGGTGCTACTAAAAAGTCTGCCGTGATCTACGGTGCTACATAGTACATCTAAAGCAGCGTTTTCCAAACTGTGAGGCGCGCCTCCCTGGGGAGGCGTGAACTAGTCTAAGGGGAGGCGCGAATATTAGTAGCAGTGAGCAATTTTCCAAATATCTGCTAAAGTATAGATACATTCCTGTGCTCTTA